AAGCGGCTGGATTATTATTCAGTTTGCCCGGCTAAATTTACACAATGCACCCCGAGACACCACCTGATGCCGCCGCGGTCCTTATTTATTTGTTTAAATTAAATGTCTCCCAGTAGGAATTAAATGAGTTGCGATGCAGACCCTCATTTCCATAATCTAATGTTTATGAGCCGCACCTCGAATAGGAATGAGTGCGATCCACAGATAAGAAAACACCGCCTCCCTTCGCTCTCCCGGCGGCACGCTAACAGCAGCACGCTAACGGCAGCTACACTCAAGAAACTCATTTTATGCATTGTTTGTGTTCAACTTAGCCCTTCACTACAACTCCCAGAGCAGTCAATTTGACGGCTTTCAGTAATCACTCAGCTCCTGCACATTGTTGTTTATTATGATTGCATATTCTAATTTTGAAATGTGAGGAAATCTATCTTTAACTTTATGTGGCACGGTAATACATACAGTTTTGAACATGATTTTAGTTAGATGAATGACATTTACAGGCTCAGCAGTTCTCATTGTACAGCCTGACAGCAGCAGGAAGGAAAGACCTGCCTCTCCTTCACACAGTGAGGGTTAATTAGTCTGTCACTGAAGCTGCTCTCCAGAGCAGAGAGAGTGTCCTGCAGGGGGCGACAGTCATGGTCCAGCATAGATGTTAGTACCTACTGCCCCCCTCCTCCATAGACACAGGTACATATCATAGACACAGGTACATATCACAGACATAGGTACATATCATAGACACAGGTACATATCATAGACACAGGTACATATCACAGACACAGGTACATATCACAGACACAGGTACATATCACAGACACAGGTACATATCACAGACACAGGTACATATCGCAGACACAGGTACATATCACAGACACAGGTACATATCACAGACACAGGTACATATCACAGACACAGGTACATATCACAGACACAGGTACATATCACAGACACAGGTACATATCACAGACACAGGTACATATCACAGACACAGGTACATATCACAGACACAGGTACATATCACAGACACAGGTACATATCACAGACACAGGTACATATCACAGACACAGGCACATATCACAGACACAGGTACATATCGCAGACACAGGTACATATCACAGACACAGGTACATATCACAGACACAGGTACATATCACAGACACAGGTACATATCACAGACACAGGTACATATCATAGGCACAGGTACATATCACAGACACAGGTACATATCACAGACACAGGTACATATCAATTAATATTTACAGTCTATGTGTTTTAACTGTTGATTCTCTGATCTGTGGTGATTTCAATGGTTTTGTTAAGTCTCTGAGATGATGCTGTTGTGATTTAGGGCTGTAGAAGAATAAGCTGTTGTTGTTGTTGTTGTTGTGCTGTGTTTGAATCCAGAGTTGACTATTCGTTAATAACTTACACTTATAACTATTTGATGTTAATTCAGATTGTTTTACTAAAAGATTTCTGTAACACTACTTTCTATGTTTTTATTCGGCCCCAGAACAAAAGTTTGACAGCGTGAAGAGCCCTGAAAGTCAGTGTCAGAGTTCTAGGAGCTGGAGTAATGTGTTCTTCTGTGACTATGGGTCAGACTCAGAGTTTTGAAGGACTTCCAAACTGAGCTTAGTGAGAAGGAGCCGCCTTTGACTCAGAAAACCACATTTAAATCCATCTCCAGAACAAGCACCGTGATTTAAAATGTTAATGTTGGAACCGTGGATGCTAACTAAGACTTTATGAAATCAAAAGAAGTAAACGCTGTGATTGCTCCTTTCATGCGTCATGTTTCATTTTGTGTAATTGTGTAAAAAAATCACCGTTATTACGAGCGCCGCGGAGTCATGTGAGTTTTAACGACGGCTCTGAATGGAACAGGACGTCACGGAGAGAGAAAGGACTAACGGACTAAGAAAGAGGCCGTCACACCGAGGAGGTTTGGTCTCAGTGACATTTGTACCTTTGTGCACTCACATGGGACAGTCATCCTTAAAGCTGGGGTACCTAACTTTGCATCCAGACATTTTGGCTCCAGCTATCTCCCATTGACTCACATGGAAAAGTAAACTAGCTCAGTGACTATTTTAGGCATAAAACTGTGGTTTCACAAGGCCAGTCCCTGTGCTCCTCAGAGTCCCAGCAGGAGGCCAGTCCCTATGCTCATCAGAGTCCCAGCAGGAGGCCAGTCCCTGTGCTCCTCAGAGTCCCAACAGGAGGCCAGTCCCTGTGCTCATCAGAGTCCCAGCAGGAGGCCAGTCCCTGTGCTCCTCAGAGTCCCAACAGGAGGCCAGTCCCTGTGCTCCTCAGAGTCCCAACAGGAGGCCAGTCCCTGTGCTCATCAGAGTCCCAGCAGGAGGCCAGTCCCTGTGCTCCTCAGAGTCCCAACAGGAGGCCAGTCCCTGTGCTCATCAGAGTCCCAGCAGGAGGCCAGTCCCTGTGCTCCTCAGAGTCCCAGCAGGAGGCCAGTCCCTGTGCTCCTCAGAGTCCCAGCAGGAGGCCAGTCCCTGTGCTCCTCAAAGTTGCTTCATACATGTGACGTGTTTTGCTGCGAGCCTGTGGAGAGACTTGTACCATTGCTGTTAATTTTATCTCTCTGGATTAAAATAACCCAGTTCTATATGAAGTCATTATTATTCACAAGATAAAGTGATTTTTCGCTGTGGTAATCTGTCATCATTAAAGGGCCCTAATCTGTCACCATTAAAGGGCCCTAATCTGTCATCATTAAAGGGCTCTAATCTGTCATCATTAAAGGGCCCTAATCCGTCATAATTAACTCTTTCAGTGCCAGACATTTTCAGAACATCACTCCTCCAGTGCCAGCCGTTTTGCTGATTTTCACCGACTTTTAAAGACCCATAGAATATGTTCTGCTATGACTAGCTTAAATCTGAGACCATATTCTGAAAGATTGAACCCTCTAGTTTACTCAGAAAAAATAAGTGTGTTTCTATCGGCTTTAGTTCTTCTGTAATCACCATTGGAGTAAGGTAAACTTTTCACAGAAATCATCAGTTTCCGACATAAAGCTGAGAAAATGAGGTGTTTGTGAAAATAAGCAAACAATGCAGAAAAGTGACTTTGAAAAGTTTTTTTTTACTTTAGTCATTTCTCACACAACAGAACATTCTTCCCATGTATAAAATAAGGGAAATGACTCAAAATAAAGTGCTTTTGATAGCAAAATAATACTCAGAACACAGAATAATACTCAACACAGAATAAGAAATGTACAAACATAAATTACAAACAAATAACTATATACATAAAGTGCTGATTGGCTGAGAGTGTGCGTGTGTGCGTGCGTGCGTGCATGTGTGCGTGCATGTGTCTCTGTCTATATAGTGTAATCTTGTTGTGTATGATATTTTGTGAAGCACTCTCCTTTGTGTAAGGGGACACCACATGCCTTGCACCACATCCTGGTCTCACTGCGCAGGCCTTTGCGCATGCAGACCCTGCATCTCCTCGAGGGTCTGGTCTTCGAGCCGGAGGACAGCAGGTACTCCACTTTGTGCCTGGCACCCTCATCGAGCCTGCTCTCTGGATCAGTGTTATATGGAGCCCTGGGGTTTCGTGGTGCTCCTTCCTCCACACATGCAACGATCGACTCGTTCTCCTCGTTGTGGTCCTCCTCGTCCTCCTTGTCCTCAATGTCCTCGATGTCCTCCTCGTCCTCCTCGTCCTCCTCGTCCTCGATGTCCTCCTCGTCCTCATCCTGGACCTTCAATGTCCAGGACCTCATGACCCCCTGCATGAATTCCAAGAGGGTTTTGTATTCCCGGTTCCCGTTCCTGGCTCTGTAGAGAGTGTAGGCATTGTACATTGCGATTTGGAACAGGTAAGCTACAAATTTTTTGGTCCAGTTCAGAGACTTCCGGACGAACGGGTAATATTTTATGTTCTGATCCAATCGATCCACGCCATTCATGGAGGAGTTATAGGCATCGACACACTCCGGTTTTAGGACAGACACCTTCTCCCTCTGTCCTCGCTGCCAAACGTCGACACTCGTCATATTGTCATGGTGACATGTTGTCAACATCTTGACAATCCGTTTGTCCCGCCACGCCAGAACCATGACCTTCCCATTGTTCACCGCGACTCTCCCCCCCACACTCAGCTCAGTCTTGGTCACGTCCCTAATGCTCTCAGGCTCTCCCCGGTTCTTCCTTAGCGTCCCACACACATTTGTTTTTACTGCCATCAACTGCTCAGACAATGCCACAGAATTGTAATAGTTGTCCATAAACAGAGTGTGGCCGGCACCTGGGAGACGGTCAAGGAGAGAAAAAACAATGTCAGGGATCGTGCGGGGGTCACCAACATAGGGCTGCAGGTTAAAGCAGTAGCCGGTGGCAGAGTCGCAGAGCACATAGGACTTTATTCCATACTTTATGGGCTTCTGTGGGTTGTAGACCTTGAAGGCCAGCCGTCCTCTCCAGAGCAACATCCCCTCATCTATGCAAATATTCTGCCCGGGTTGGAACATTACCTTGAATTTATTGATCAGGTAGTCGTAGACTGGGCGAACCTTGTATAACCTGTCAGTTACATCAATTGCAGAGTTGTCATTGTAATGGAGGAACCTCCATATGAGTTGGAACCGGTTCCTGGACATTATTTTAGTGAAGAACGGGGTCACAAACATCTCATCCACGTTCCAATACATTGCCAGGGTTGGCTTGTGGATAACACCAGTGAGGAAAGATAATGCAAAGAACTTTTTTATCTCTGGAATGGTCACTGGTCTCCATGCATGCTTTCTGCTGTGTTGCGGAATCTCTGGGTTTGCCAGGAAATGCTGTTGAGCATAGAGGTTGGTCTGCTCTGTGATGTGCTGGAGCAGCTCGTCCGTGAGGAACAGCTCCAGGAAGTCAGCAGGCGAGGTGGACTCCAGCTCTGCTGCCGCGTTCAGGGGACCAGGCGTTGCAGTGAAGGGGAACACAGTGGGTTTCCATCCGGATTTCCGCCAGGTGCCGCCTTTACCCTTTGCAACTGTAATAAATTATGGAAATGTATACAATAAATAGGAATCAAATAGAGCTCGTTTTATTGATTTGATGTGATGTAGAGAAAGATATTCCTACCTCTTTTCTTCACACCTGTATTTGCAGCACTCACGCTGGCAGCGCCTCTGCTCAATGTAGCGCCTGTATAGAATTGTACAATAACTCATCTATCCATATACACACATATCCAAATACATATACATCTACAGACGCACATATCCAAAGACACACAGACACACATGCACAGAGACACACGCACAGAGACACACGCACACACACACTACACACTACATACATATTATACACATACATATACACACACATGCATATATTCATACATATATGAGTATTTTATTTACCTGTAGGCCTCCTTTTACCAGCATTAGTACTCCTGGATTGGCCCAGCACTCTGCTTACTAGAAATACACACAAATACAATCATGAGAATTATACAAGAATACTTTTATTTCATTGCTAAATGCATATGTATAATGTATGCATTACCTGCTCTGCCGGTTGCTCTGGGGGAATCGGGGGATAAGTCACTGCTGTTTGGGTCAGCTTCAGGTTCCCATAGCTCTGAAGAGCCTGTATCCGACGAGGAACTTTCTCTGGACCGACGTGGACCACTGGAACTGCGTGCGGCGGCTCTGGAGCGACGTGCGCGGCAAGGACTCCCGCCAACGGCCAGATGTTTAGACTTAGCTTTAGCCGTAGCCTCAGGCTTTTTGCCAACTGAAGGCCGAGGCAGATCACCTCCACCTTCCTCATGGCCATCACCCACCGACCTTCTGATGGTACCACCAGCACCAAACGCCTCCTCCATCGTTAGCTGCCGCTTTCTGCTCATATTCGCTCTCCCGATTACTCTCTTGTGCTCACTCTAACCAACCTACTCCCACAATGAGATCTGGGCTTCCGGTTCCTTTTATGCCTGATCGAAGAGCTAAAGGAGGCTACTGACATCTGCTGGCCGAATAAAATACTGTCAAACAGTCCCGATCAGAGATATATGATAGAATGGATGCGTCTGGATCTGAATACACCAAAACACGTCAATTGCATAAAATGCGTCAATGGCACACAAGCATAGATCTTGAATTGACGTAATATGCGTCATTGGCACTGAAAGAGTTAAAGGGCCCTAATCTGTCATCATTTAAGGGCCCTAATCTGTCATCATTAAAGGGCCCTAATCAGTCATCACTAAACGGCCCTGATCTGTCATCATTAAAGGGCCCTAATCTGTCATCATTAAAGGGCCTAATCTGTAATCATTAAAGGGCCCTAATCTGTCATCATTAAAGGGCCCTAATCTGTCATCATTAAAGGGAACTAATCTGTCATCATTAAAGGGAACTAATCTGTCATCTTTAAAGGGCCCTAATCTGTCATCATTAAAGGGCCCTAATCTGTCATCATTAAAGGGCAGTAATCTGTCATCATTAAAGGGCTCTAATCTGTCTTTATTAAAGGGCCCTGATCTGTCATCATTAAAGGGCACTAATCTGTCATCATTAAAGGGCACTAATCTGTCATCATTAAAGGGCCTAATCTGTAATCATTAAAGGGCCCTAATCTGTCATCATTAAAGGGCCCTAATCTGTCACCATTAAAGGGCCCTAATCTGTCATCATTAAAGGGCTCTAATCTGTCATAATTAAAGGGCCCTAATCTGTCACCATTTAAGGGCCCTAATCTGTCATCATTAAAGGGCCCTAATCAGTCATCACTAAAGGGCCCTGATCTGTCATCATTAAAGGGCCCTAATCTGTCATCATTAAAGGGCCCTGATCTGTCATCATTAAAGGGCACTAATCTGTCATCTTTAAAGGGCCCTAATCTGTCATCATTAAAGGGCCCTAATCTGTCATAATTAAAGGGCACTAATCCGTCATCATTAAAGGGCTCTAATCTGTCATTATTAAAGGGCCCTGATCTGTCATCATTAAAGGGCACTAATTTGTCATCATTAAAGGGCCCTAATCTGTCATCATTAAAGGGCCCTAATCTGTCATAATAATAAACTGAGATATTTGAATTTCTAAATTGGTTTTACAGCCCCTAAATCTATTGCACCTACAGCCCGTATTGCACCTACAGCCTGTATTGCACCTACAGCCTGTATTGCACCTACAGCCTGTATTGCACCTACAGCCCGTATTGCACCTACAGCCTGTATTGCACCTACAGCCCGTATTGCACCTACAGCCCGTATTGCACCTACAGCCCGTATTGCACCTACAGCCCGTATTGCACCTACAGCCCGTATTGCACCTACAGCCTGTATTGCACCTACAGCCTGTATTGCACCTACAGCCTGTATTGCACCTACAGCCCGTATTGCACCTACAGCCCGTATTGCACCTACAGCCCGTATTGCACCTACAGCCCGTATTGCACCTACAGCCCGTATTGCACCTACAGCCCGTATTGCACCTACAGCCTGTATTGCACCTACAGCCTGTATTGCACCTACAGCCTGTATTGCACCTACAGCCCGTATTGCACCTACAGCCTGTATTGCACCTACAGCCTGTATTGCACCTACAGCCCGTATTGCACCTACAGCCCGTATTGCACCTACAGCCTGTATTGCACCTACAGCCCGTATTGCACCTACAGCCCGTATTGCACCTACAGCCCGTATTGCACCTACAGCCTGTATTGCACCTACAGCCCGTATTGCACCTACAGCCCGTATTGCACCTACAGCCCGTATTGCACCTACAGCCTGTATTGCACCTACAGCCCGTATTGCACCTACAGCCCGTATTGCACCTACAGCCTGTATTGCACCTACAGCCTGTATTGCACCTACAGCCCGTATTGCACCTACAGCCCGTATTGCACCTACAGCCCGTATTGCACCTACAGCCTGTATTGCACCTACAGCCCGTATTGCACCTACAGCCTGTATTGCACCTACAGCCTGTATTGCACCTACAGCCTGTATTGCACCTACAGCCTGTATTGCACCTACAGCCTGTATTGCACCTACAGTCTGTGAAACAACAGTGTGAATTGCCCCAGTTGGTCGTGTGCGATCCAAACGCCGCTCCTCTCTCAGGATATTACCGCGAGCGTTTCACCACCACCATGTCCTGTTTTTTTCTTTCTACCTTTTTTAAAATCTCCCGTGTCTCAAAACTCGAATTAATTTTTCATAGCAACTGCACTTTGTCTCACCCCGGGCATTCCTGCGCTTTGACCGTCAATAACACGGGCGGGTTAGAAAGTTGTGTTGCATGAATGTTTAAGCAGCGTCTTTGTGAGTCTTCAGAACAGATGCCGTTTGTGGGGTCACTGCCGTTAATCCATAATTTATATAATAATGTGTGTATTCCCCGTCGTCATGAATAATCCATGGTAAACAGTGTGCGGAGATGAAGCCGGAATACGATTGGACGCAACCGAGAGACTGGCCTTTTCAACAGCTGTTTAACCATGAAGTGTGGTGTGTGAGAACCAGGAAGTACCATGGCATCGGGCTGACGAGAACCAGGAAGTACCATGGCATCGGGCTGACGAAAACCAGGAAGTACCATGGCATCGGGCTGACGAGAACCAGGAAGTACCATCCCATGAGGCTGATGGGAACCAGGAAGTACCATCACATTAGGTTGACGAGAACCAGGAAGTACCATCGCATTAGGCTGACGAGAAACAGGAAGTACCATCACATTAGGCTGACGAGAAACAGGAAGTACCATCGCATCAGGCTGACGAGAAACAGGAAGTACCATCACGATAGATCCGCGGAGGGAGGGCGAGCAGAAAGAGCGAGGCCAGCGCTCACATTCGGAAAAAAAAAAGTGAGTTAGAGCAGCTTTAAGTTTTAGGTGTCTCAGTAACATGGTTAAGGGTGGGTTGGGGATATTTTATGAGAATGGCTGGTTATATATTTACTTCATATATATAATTTGGGTCTCTATAGACTTTAAAGCAGCTCTGTTTGTAAAAAAAAGCTTTGGCCTGGCCTCCTGCTGGGACTGAGGAGCACAGGGACTGGCCTCCTGCTGGGACTGAGGAGCACAGGGACTGGCCTCCTGCTGGGACTGAGGAGCACAGGGACTGGCCTCCTGCTGGGACTGAGGAGCACAGGGACTGGCCTCCTGCTGGGACTGAGAAGCACAGGGACTGGCCTCCTGCTGGGACTGAGAAGCACAGGGACTGGCCTCCTGCTGGGACTGAGGAGCACAGGGACTGGCCTCCTGCTGGGACTGAGGAGCACAGGGACTGGCCTCCTGCTGGGACTGAGGAGCACAGGGACTGGCCTCCTGCTGGGACTGAGGAGCACAGGGACTGGCCTCCTGCTGGGACTCTGGGGAGCACAGGGACTCAAATTTAGAACAGTCTTCCTGAAAATGTGAGAAAGTATGTTTCTCTGAAAATGTTTAAATCCAGGTTCAAACAGTGATGTTTCGCTCCGTCCTTCAGTCGCACCGTTTGACAGATTCCACAGAGTATATGTTTTTATCAAACAGCAGATTCCACAGAGTATATGTTTTTATCAAACAGCAGATTCCACAGAGTATATGTTTTTATCAAACAGCAGATTCCACACAGAGTATATGTTTTTATCAAACAGCAGATTCCACACAGAGTATATGTTTTTATTAAACAGAAGATTCCACACAGAGTATATGTTTTTATCAAACAGCAGATTCCACACAGAGTATATGTTTTTATCAAACAGCAGATTCCACAGAGTATATGTTTTTATCAAACAGCAGATTCCACCACAGAGTATATGTTTTTATCAAACAGCAGATTCCACAGAGTATATGTTTTTATCAAACAGCAGATTCCACACAGAGTATATGTTTTTATCAAACAGCAGATTCCACAGAGTATATGTTTTTATCAAACAGCAGATTCCACACAGAGTATATGTTTTTATCAAACAGCAGATTCCACAGAGTATATGTTTTTATCAAACAGCAGATTCCACACAGAGTATATGTTTTTATCAAACAGCAGATTCCACACAGAGTATATGTTTTTATCAAACAGCAGATTCCACACAGAGTATATGTTTTTATCAAACAGCAGATTCCACACAGAGTATATGTTTTTATCAAACAGCAGATTCCACACAGAGTATATGTTTTTATCAAACAGCAGATTCCACACAGAGTATATGTTTTTATTAAACAGCAGATTCCACACAGAGTATATGTTTTTATCAAACAGCAGATTCCACACAGAGTATATGTTTTTATCAAACAGCAGATTCCACACAGAGTATATGTTTTTCATAGACAGCAGTGACGAGATGTGAGTTTCCAGATGGAGTTTTTTCTCGCACTCGTTGCACACTTGAATCGTGTCGTAAACAAACATGTCCTGCCAAGACTCCGCTGAGTGTGAAGGCCTCACACAGTCAGGAGCAATGACATCACAACATGATTTATTCAGCCATTCATTTTCAAACCCTTTTATTGATCCATTTCTGGGTCGGGGTCTGGGTCAATGAGAGCTGCACCCACTGCTCATAGCTCCAGTCCCTCTGATCCTCTGCAGGGGGCGGGGGGGGGGGGGGGGGGGGGGCCCAGGGGGCGGGTCCATAGGAAGATGGTTGCTCCATCAGTGGTGACACAGCCTTGATCTTTCAGGCAACGTGGGGTTAAGTGTCTTGCCCAAGGACACAACAACAGCAGACATGAAAGGGAGAAGTTGGAGCGGGTGTTGTGAGGGGATCGAACCCACAACCTTCAGGCTCAAAGGCCAATGCTCTACCGACTGAGCCTATGCATATTAATACAAACAGATTATTGCTACATAAATCCCCTGTTGTTCATTACCACTGCTGGTATCGCCCTCATGCAGTTGTCTTTCCTCCTTGTAAAATGCATATTGTCTGTAAATGTTCTTAAACACATGAATTATTACTTTAAAACATGAACAGTTGATTTAAATGTTCACTTTGCTTTGATTTTGTCTTGAAGCAAACAGGAAGCTCAATGAGTTTTGCGTTTGAAGAAACCAGGGCTGGGATTGAACACGTTTTTTTTCTTCTTCCTCCTTTTTAAGTATCTGTCTTAAGTATTAAATAAGTATTTATCTTCTGTATATAATATTTATCATTTTGTAGGGTTATGTATGCACAATTTTGATATTCTGCTTTTGTTTTTTCTACACTTATTTGCTCGAAACATAAACATATATAGGGGCGATAGTAGCTCAGTTGGTAGAGCATTGGCCTTTGAGCCTGAAGGTCATGGGTTCGAGCCCACCTCAAGACCTACTTCACAACTCCCACTGATGACTGCTGTCGTTGTGTCCTTGGGCAAGACACTTAACCCCACTTTGCCTAAAGCCCCCACTGAAAGATCTCAGCTCCTGTGGACTCACCACCTGCAGGAGGATCAGTGAGGGGCTGGTGCTCTGTGGACTGGCTCTGACTGCCACCCCCCCAACCCAGAAATGGATTAAGGGGAAGAGGATGGATGGATGGATGGATAAACATATATATTAAATACATAAATAATCCGTAATAAAGTCGGTAAAACCTCTCCACGGAGACGGTTGAGTAATTTCTAATCCATTAACGACTCGTACAACTGTGTCCACGCCGACCTCTGCTCCGTCCGACTCTTTCCGCCCGTACATTCACACAATCAATACTCTGGGCAGAAATTAATTTTCCCGCCGCCGTTCCTCTCCGCTTGAGTAGTCGCATGTCACCGGCTTACAACCGCAGGTCAGGATGTTACCGGAGTGCGGACGGATCATAGCTTTCCTTCTGCCAGACGGGTTTATTGAGCGCCACGACCTCGCCAAACCCGACCGAACCATCGAACCTCGGAGAATACATCCCCGGCTTACACAGGCGTGATGCAGGACGTGTCCGTCACTGGTCTGACCCTTCCACATGGTCTTCAGGACCTGAGCATCCGGCTTTAACGTCAGGAAACAAAGAGATTAAGATGAAGAGATGCTGTATCTGTCAGACAGCGGGGAAATTTCAGTGTTGCATCAGGAGTTAGAGAACAGAAAATAAATGAACAATAATTCTGTAGTAAATAAAATACAATCTCTAGCTTTAGCATCAAAGAAACAAGTATCAAATCTATTATGATAAGAAGCAAGTATAAAGTACTGTGTAATCTACTGCGAGTTATATATATTTGTACGTAACCTTTTTTTAAACACTGTATGAATTTTGTAATGTAATGTTTATTTATATAGTACATTTTACAGACCAAGGTACAGATCCAAAGCACTTTCCAATGTTCAGAGTCAGATATTGTTCCAATCCTTCCACACACGGTGACGACAGAAGCGAGTCCAGAACACACTGGACCATCAGCTCCAACACCATCCATTCACTCTCTCATTTACATTCAGACCTATTGTACATGTTTTTAGTGGTAGGGGAAACCGGAGCACCCGGAGGAAACCTACGCAGAAACGGGGAGAACATGCAAACTCCACTCAGAAAAGCTCTGTTCCGACTGGGATTCGAACCCAGGATCTTCTTGCTGAGAAGCGCAAGTGCTGACCACTCAGCCACCGTGCTACCCCGTGAATTTTACCAGAAAAGAAGACGAAGATATTCAGGAGTTCAAATAAACAATATTTTATCAATGAAATACTTAAACTAAACTCTCTGAGCTCCTATTTCCCGATCCCTATGAACTGAGCCAAATTATTGTCGGTCCAGGCCTGAAAACTAACAAAGGACTTCCAGGTTCTCTGTGAAGTCCTCTCTCCGCCTGACTCAGACTAACTATGTCGCTCAAAACAGTTTTATGAAAATGTGGAAGTGCCGTAATTTTTGCTCCATATATGGTAAGACCGGAGAGCCTGGTCTAGTCCGGTCTCATCTCCAGTCCGGTCTCATCTCCAGTCCGGTCTCATCTCCAGTCCGGTGAGATGAGGACTGAAAAGAACACTTGAAGGCTTTCCATTGTTTTGTTCTAAACTCACTGACCTCAGGCTACCACAAAAACACACACTTTAAAAACACTTTGATTTAACTTTTCATGATTAAATATAGAATTTCTTACAGGTTGATACACGGATAACAGAAATTAGAAGTATGTTTTTGTATCGGGGTGTGCTGTAATTACAAGTGACGTATTTTTTGTGTCAGTGCCAATTTGAACCAAGAGATTTCGATTTTAGCACGGACATAACTAAAAACAACTGATTTCTGTGTTCTTTATGAGATTAGAAATTCCAGCCTTTTTTGTATGTTCCTTGTTGTAAAACCAGTTACTACTTTAAACCGAGAATAAATCCGTCAGCAGCGCCCAAAACTACGGAACGCTCCATAACTTTCCTTTTTATTGAAGGCCTCGCAAACGCAAAGAAAACCCATCAAAGCTCCAAAAATCCATTCTCCTTCCCGCCGTTTTCCCGTTTTACATTTGCAATTTGGTAGGCAGATTCTCTAATACATTTTGTGCATAGTAAACAAATAGGACGGCGAGGCAAAGCTAGCGTTAAATCTTGTCTGGAAAAGCTGTAAAATTGATGCATTGTGGACACGGGCAGCAGATGCAGCCTTTGTTTGTGGGTTCTGAGTAAATTGCTTGTGGAAGATGACATGAAATATGTATAAACAGCGTATGTGTGAAGTGTGCGTGCCCCGAGCAGTTTTGGCTGGGCTCCATTTGTCACAGAGATACCGGCTTTGTTTTGACACCGTCGCTCAGGACAAGAGGGGAAAAGCCCGGACGTGGACGTGTGCTTGGCTTCTGTCCAAGCCATGACTTCAGGGTTATCGACTTTGACATCCCAGATAATAAACCTGTGGATCTTTCTGGTTGTAAGTTTGGTTACCATCAACTGTTGTAGAATAGACTTGAATTCTAGGTGGAGGAACCAGGAATGCTAACTTTTTTAAAAATGCTAATGAAGCATTCAGCATTTTACTTTGGAGCAGAGAAAATGGTCCGAACCAAGCGGCTCCACCTCTGCTGCTGTTTCTTATTATTGCTATTGTGAGCATTTTAGAATGATTATTTTTATTTTTCGCTGCTATCGGACACCTGCATTTCCAGTGTTGTGCGTGAACGAGTTCAAAAGAACGCGTTCATTGAACACGCTCATTTTTTCGTGAACGTTGAACTGAACGCAACACATTTTTTAAAAAACAACTTGAACGTGAATTAGTTAATTTTATGTGTCATGAACGGCAGACATCACTATGAACGTTGGAATCTGTTTTCTCTTTTGAAACGCAACGAGAGAAAGTTCCTCCCTCCTGTATTCTCGCACTTTTTCCACCGAAATCTAAAAATTCTAACGGTTTCCACCGTCTGTGAACGCACCCCGACTCTGTGTTGCGGTGCGGCGCTGTGAGCTGGTGCTTTTCACATGTGCCTGAGTCGTGATGAAAACACAGGGTGAGTTAGCGACAAAGTTTACACCGTTTACATTTGACATGAAGTACAGACATGACAGCACTGCAGCGCATTACTGTCTGTAGTTTATGAGCAGAGATGGAGCAACTCCGTTTTGTTCTCATTGAAAACCATGTAAATCTGGTCTGTTTTGTGGTCAAAAGGCTCTCCTCCTGTGGGTGTACAGGAGATATTTACACACACACACACACATATATATATATATATATATATATATATATATATATATATATATATAAATATATAGCTCGTAGTGTGAAAAAATATGTATTTAAGTATCTCACGAAAAAAGTAAAATGAACTGAACTTTGAACTAGTTCAGAATTAAAAATGTGAACTTTGAACGTGAACTGTTCACTTTGAGCATGTATGAACTGAACTTGAACTAGTTCAGAAAAGCTGTGAACTGACACAACACTGTGCATTTCTCCCAAAGGGGTCAAAAACGTATCTATCTATCTACAGAGTGCTGGCGATCACCCAGTCTATCCCTAAAGCTTACAGCACAAATCCGGAAATAAATCCAGGTGTAAAAACAAACGCCAATTTGAACAACCACATCAGAAAAGTCAAATCCTCAGCTTTCCACCGAGTACAAACCATATCCAGAATGAACAGTATTAGTGTAAAAGCAGAGTTGGAAGGACCTGTCACTGGACTCTCCAGTTGTATGTTCTGATTAGAATCTATGTTCCAAAGCTTCGTTCCTGATGCTGTCGATGTGAGTATATTTTTTTGGACCAGTCAAGTTTGGTCGCTGTGGACTTTTGAATGCCCTCATTAATGAATGGAGCCAGTGCAGCTAACACATGCACAAATGTGCTTTGTTTAAACCAGACGTGACGTACCCTGGCGGTGCAGTCTGCCGGGTACACGGAGATATATATATAATATATAATATATATATATATATATATATATAGTATATATATATATATATATATATATATATATATATAAATATATATATATATATATATATATATATATATATATATATATATATATATATATATATATATATATATATATATATATATATATATATATATATATATATATATATATATATATATATATATATATATGGGGAGGCTGCGTTTCAGATCCATGCAGCTAAGATCTGGAACAATCTCCCTGAAAATGTGAGGGAGGCGTCTACTCTGTCAATGTTCAAATCCAGGTTAAAGACTGTTCTGTTTGCCTGTGCATACAACTGAAGGATTTTATCTCCATTTTTAATGCACTGCTGTCATTTATTTATTTATTTAAATTTCTTGTGTAATTTTGAAAGTTTTAATGGTTTTATTCTTTTGTGTGATTTTAATGTTTTAATTGTGTTTTAATCTTTTGTGTGATTTTAATGTTTTAATTGTGATTCTGGTGTTTGTTTTATGTGATGATTTGTGATGTGGACTGTGAAGCGCTTTGTGTTGCCATGTGTATGAAAGGCGCTCTACAAATAAACTTTGATTGATTGATTGATTGATATAGTAGAAGAAGAAGCGCTGTCAAAATGCCATCTTTTTGTGCGGTGTACGCTTGTAGCAACCGCACAAATACAGAGAAAGACCAGAGTTTGTTCATGTTCCAACTGTGTCTCATATAAAGGAGGACACTTTGAAAAAAATCCCTGGAATGAGGCGGGCGAGGTGGATCAAGGCTTTCCCAGATAAGCGCCCCCTGCAGGCCACCCCAATGAAACGCAGACATTTCTTCTGTTTTTCTTTCCAAAATCGCCTGAAATCAAGACTCTTTTGAGAAATATTTGTAAGTTCTCCCTTAGAATTGAGTGTCCCAGATTAAGACTGTTCCAACAACCGTACACCGCACAGGAGGAGAGCCTTTGACTCCAAAACAGACTTTACATGGTTTTACATGGGTTATGGTTAGGGTTACGGTTATGCGCCCTCTGCTCATGCGCCCCCTACAGGCCAGGCTCATGAAACACAAGAATAGACGGCAACAGTGGAGGCACATTAGTTTAACTGCGGCAATAGGCGTCACTACGTCTGTTAATATATTCAGTCTATGATCAAAACCAGGAGCAGCCTTCCTGAAAAAAGTTTAGATCCAACTCAGCAAAGTTTGAGAGAAAGAGGTTTTAGTAGAAGAGGATTCAATGCGTTGTCAAGAGTCTGGTGTCGGTGTTGGTTTGAAAATGCATTACCTCTGTGTGGATATATTACCAACTTCAGGTGTGATCCAGAATTAACAACTGAAGAAATACTAGGTGCCAAATGCAAAACCAGAAACGTACTCACATCCTCATTTAACCTGACTTCAATGGAGTTACGTGTGGCTGATTGTTCTGAAGTTTGCGCGGGTCTGGAAGCCGTGGTCTTGGTCAAAGTAATTGTTTCAGTCTGAAGCACGTCTCGAGTGGATGTCTCAAGTGTCTGCTCTGTGGACTGGGTCTAATCGAGCTCAAGCCAAAGCAAGGAAGGCGTAGACGGAGCAGAGCAGACTGGCCGGTCTAAAGTGATTAGCCGTGAGATGCATTGATTTGAATAGTTGGTTGGAGAAGGAAATACTTAGTTTACTGGGAGGTGCTTGTTCTGAAATCCCAATCAATAATGGCTTTGGCTGTTCCCTACTTAGGGCGCTATATTGTAAGTGTTAGCACTGTCTCAAGCCCAGCAGGTTTGAGATTGAGATGTTTGGTTCTCCTTTGAAATTATCCAATATCCAACTCAATGTATTCTTGTGTAGCCCGAAATTACTAAAGCAGTTTTCTGGGAGGACTTTACACAACCGAAATTCGCCAACACAGCTTAAAGAATCAAACAATTGCATGCCAGAACTATTGTAAATGTTTTTAGTGGTAAGGGAAACCGTAGCACCCAGAGGGAACCTATGCTGACACAGGAAGAACATGCAAACTCCACTCAGAAAGTCCAACCGGGATACAAAGCCAGGACCTTCTTGCGGAGAAGGGAGAATGCTAACCACTCAGTCACCATGTTGCCCAAATGTGTAATTTATGTATAGAATAAGACTTAAAACAGCTGGAAGACCTCTCACCGCACATATTTCTAACCCTTAAATGATCCTTTGTCCAGACTTTTTCCGTGCATTGAGGAGTGACAGCATTTCAAAAAAACTGCAGCTGTGACATTATGAAAGTGTATTTTTCGCTGCTTTTACAAAACCCCCAATCATGTGGCGCCAAAGTCACAGGTGCCGTCAACATCTGTGTCAGTCTCCCACGTCCCACTGTGATAATCTGCCATGGAGCTGTTTCAAGACTTTAACCCTTCAGAGTCTAAGGGTGTTTTGGAGCATTTACCTCGCCTGGAATTTTTGTAGTATTATTGCTCATAAAACACTTATCTAGTGATGCACAGTAAAGCAGGATACTTTGTTTTTTTCAGTAAAACCTGGGCTTATATAATATGCATACTATACTTGTGTCATATGAATGTAATAAATGTTATGGAGTCATGAAGACATAGAAAAAATAAAAACGGAAAATCAATTCTACACACACCTATTGGAAAAACACACTGAAATGCTAATGCCAACTTCTTACACATTGTAGCAATGTTGTTTAGGGTCTTGGGGATATTGAGAAAAAAAATTGGACCTGTAACTATAGTACAAATGTACAAAATTCCACAATAAGTGCAAAAAGCCCAAGCGTTTTACTGCTGATGCCATTACTGGGAGCAATTTCTGTCTGTCATGGGGCAGGGAGCCACATCATAGATAATATGCATACTGTAATGGTGTCCTTTGAATGTAAAGAAAGTTATGAAATCATGAAGAAATAAATTTTACGAACATTTATTGAAAAAGAACACACTGAAAGGCAAAAAAACAACTTATTACATAACCATAACTATATTACAAATTTACAAAAAGCCTTCCTAGAGTTTTACTCCTGATGCCATTCCTGGAAGCAGTTTCTGTCTGCTATGAGGCAGAGAGCCACATCACAGGCTAGGCACTTCCAAGGGGTAGCTTGTCTTTTGTGGCGAGTCTCTCTGCAGTGAGCACAGCTTCTCCTCCCGTATGATGCCCGCTTCTTCAGGTCTTCCTGTTCAGATATTGCCACGGGCAAGTGTTGTGCGGGGGCTTTTACAGGAGGGACCATCACTGACACACCACAGAGCTGGGCAGTCAGCTCCTCTAAAAAGCCTCGGTGTGTCATTGGCTTGTCCCCTTTTTCTTGGCTCAACTCTTTGTGCAAAAGGTAAGCGTTTGTGGCTGCAATGTCCATGAAGTGGAAAAATAGGGTCCGGTACCAGCGTTTGGTGGTGTGGTGAACACTGTAATATTGAATTAGTTGATCTGACAGATCAACCCCTCCCATGTACTTATTGTAATCCATGATTGGCTGTGGGCAGGGAATGTCTTTGGTGACCCAGTTGTCGACGGTTTCTTTGAAGCGCCGCCTCACTGTTTTACCTGTGTAAGCAGGATGGATGGTGGAGCAGATGGAGACTTCACGCGAGTCCATCCACTTCACAAACACCAATGGGCCCTCCCTGATCCACGTTATTGTGCCCCTTTTGTCTTTTTTACCCAGGGCATTACTTTGGGTGCGGGGACATCCTCTCCTATTTTCGCTGTATGTTCCACAAGCACCAATGCCCATACTATATAGGTCCATGAAAAGTTTTGGGCTCGTGTAGAAATTGTCAACATACAGGTGGTAACCACTACCCAGGAATGAGGGCTTTATAAGGGACATGACAGAATCGTAGGCAAGCCCCACACCAGAGGAAAACTGGGACTTCCCTGTGTAGATTACAAAGTCCACAGTGTAGCCATTGAAGCTGTCTGCCAAGACAAAGAGTTTGAAGCCCCACTTTGTTGGTTTCGCTTTCATGTACTGGGTCATCCCTGTGTGGGCCTTTGTTGCCACCATTCTCTCATCAATGGAAATGTTTTGTCTTGGATTATAGTGGGCTTTACAGGCGGTTAGGATTGAGTCCAAAAGTGGCTTCAGTCTGAAAAGTTTATCAAACTGTGGGCTTCCCTTTGTTTGGTCATTGACAACATCCTGGTCTGGGTCACTCATATGTATGTTCCATGAGATGATCCGGAACCGATCCCGGGTCATTACTTTTGGCGGAAAAGGTGTACTGAAAATAGAATGTTGTTTCCAGTAGTCTGCAACACAAGAGAGCTTTAGCAATGAAAAATAAAAAATCAGTCCAATAAATTTATATAGCTCCGTTTCTTGCAGTGTCGTCCAAATGTATTTCTTTCCCCTAGCAATGTTTTTTTCAGCCTGTTTGTTGGTATTAGTGCAAAGACTGGCCATTGCACCTTTGTCCACAAAAAGTGAAAATAAATCCAATGGGCTGTAATTTGTACCTGCATGAAGCTGGTGCCCTGGTGTCCTTTTGGGCTTGAACTTTTTCGGGTGGCAATCATCGGAATCCAGTTCACTGTTCCAGCTGGCTTGAGGAAGTACAGGTCCAGGCTGTGGTGGAGATCTGCTTCGGCCTCCAGCACTGCTTCGGCCTCCAGCACTGCTTCGGCCTCCAGCTCTGCTTCGGCCTCCAGCTCTGCTTCGGCCTCCAGCTCTGCTTCGGCCTCCAGCACTGCTTCGGCCTCCAGCACTGCTTCGGCCTCCAGCTCTGCTTCGGCCTCCAGCTCTGCTTCGGCCTCCAGCTCTGCTTCGGCCTCCAGCTCTGCTTTGGCCTCCACTTCTTTTGGTCTGTGAAATGTGACGGCCCCTTGAAGTAGAGGGAGTGGTGGAGGTCAGCGGTGAAGGTGTGGATTGGTGGTGCTGAGAAGTGGTGGCCTCCACTGTAACCATGGGGATGGGCGTGGGAGTGGGTGAACGAGGTTCAGTATCTGGAGATGCTGAAGAGGGTGGAAGATCTTCATCATCACAGCTGTAAAATGAGAAAAACAAAAGGAACTGAGTATATATATATATATATATATACACCACTATAATAACAAACAGGTAAACTATAGATGGAGATTAGTCTTTAGAATAAACAGGTAAACACATAATATAATTTTACTGTATTTATTATCAATACAATTCCCCTGTGACCCCAGGCCCCCTGAGACTATAGATGGAGATTAGCTGCAATCAGGCGTGTCTACAATATGTTATTATAATAAATCCATGGTTCAACCTGTGCTTATTGACATGTATAAAGAAGAAACAAACGCACACACAAATAAATAATCGGCACTTACTCTTCAGCCGGGTCTACGCCTTCGCGGTATTGGTTCTCCTCATCCGTGTAGAAACTTTCAGCCCCAGATTCTGAATCTACATCACTCATCACATAGAAAAGTTCAAGAGCCTCTGCTGCGGTCAAGTTTCTGTTTGCCATTCTGTCTGACACACGGGATACGGAAAAAACACGGGATACAAATACGGGATACAAATACGGGATGAGCTAGTTTCTTCTCTCGAGCGCGTCTTCTCCGTGACATTCTATTTGCGTCTGGACTCACGTTTGGCGCCATGTACGTAATTTTCACTGGTCCCGTTTGTGAAATAAAAATATAAAAAACATATAAAAACATAAAAGGACTGGCAGTGACTTGAAAAACAGTGCAGTAAACTTTATTGCACATTTTCAATGAAATAACAGTCTTTTACGGATCAGTAAATGAATAAATGTATACAAACAAGATTGTACACGGATAATATAATCATCTCGGCTCTCTTCAACCTTTGGCACACCGGGAGATAGAAGCATGCCAAAGTAACACGCACAACGATTGGATATTTAACTCGCATGAAGATGTGATTGGACGCTGAACTCCCAATAGACATAGCTTATCTTACCTGCGTCACAGAGAAATTCCGGAACTATATTCTGAAAGCCTGAAGTCTCCTCTTCACGCAGAAACAAAAAGTAAGTCTCTGTTGTTTACCATTCGTGAGATATTGTGTAATTTATGCGGAGATGTCTGGCGAGTCGCACCCGACGCTCCCGCTGCGGAAGGGTTAAACTCCTCATTTAACCTGTCGCCTGCCGCTCCCTGCCGCCCAAAAGAAGCAGAAATAGTCACGGTAATTATTTCCAACCAAGTTGGAATGGCAAAGAAATAAAATCCACTTCAGGTCTGGGATGAGCGCAGGTAACAGAATTATTCAGATGACAAATTGAGAAAGGTGCAAAGTTTTCCCAAGGCTTGTATGATCGATGAGAGAAGCAGAAAGGTATTTGAATGGCTTTTCGGTTCGACTGAAGGTGGTTGGTGTAAAAGGTTTGGGTTAATAGTTTGCACCTGCGTCAAACCCAGCCATGGGTTTCTATGGACAAAAAAAACTGAATGAGATCATTTCAATTAGGCTCCGAAATATAGTCATCAAGGTGAGAATTTGTGCAGTATATTCATTTCAGTTTAGTAGTTATCAGTTATTCATTCATCAGTTATTCACTGTGAGGATTCTGATCTTTGATTTCTCCAGTGCCTTCAACACCATCCAGCCGAGGCTTCTCAGGGACAAGATGGAGACAGCTGGAGTGGACTACGACCTGTCCCAGTGGATCCTGGACTACCTCATAGACAGACCCCAGTTTGTGAGAACCAGGGACTGTGTGTCTGAGGTCCTGACCTGCAGTGTGGGGGACCCCCAGGGGACAGTCCTCGCGCCGTTCCTCTTCACCCTCTACACTGCGGACTTCAGACACAACACGGACGGTTGTGTCATTTACAGCCAGTTAAGAAAACATAGCTACTACTTAATTTGTATATTTTGTCTGCTCCCTGTGTGCTCTGTGCGCTGCAACAACGGAATTTCCCCACTGTGGGAATAATAAAGGAACTCTAATCTTATCTTATCTTCATTTCAGTAGTTATCTGGGAGAACTTCACACAGTTGTGGATTCGCCAACACAGATTAGAGAATCAAACAGTTCAAATACAAGAAATGCAATGATAAAGAGACAGAGACCAATGTTCATCAATGTAGATAGTTCAAAAAACAAATAATGTATATAGTCGGAGCCTTAGATGCTGATGGGGAAAACTATACCAGGAAACATGTCTGGCAAAGTAAGGTAAGATTATCAGCATTGCCCTCAGACGTACGCCCACAAGTATTTCTCATCTCATACAAATAGTGTATACACATGGGTTAGGGTTAGTCTGAAGTGGAAAGGCAGATGCTAAAGCTAATTGTTCATAGATATACTGCATTTAAATAAGAACATATGTTTCAGTGTAAGAAACAAGAGACAAACAGGTTTTAATTCCAATCCATATTTCTCAAATCCTGTTGATCTGCTGCCACGCCGACCCTGTTTTTACTGCATAGAAATAGGATCCCAGGGACATTCTACAGAAGGTTGGATTTTCACTGAAACGTTTTAAACTTTGGTGCAAACTTTGATACTTTTGGTGTAATCCGTTCTTGTTTGGCTCCAAATATCAAGAAACTGAAGCCGGAGCAAGAGGAATGTTTAGTAAATGTAATTGAAGCGAAGTTGTTGTGGCTCTACTCCCCACGGGCTCCGTTAGCAGAAAAGGAGATGGCTAAAGCTAGGCTACATGTTAAAGCTAGGCTAAATACCAAATGCGGTAAACTCAAATCCAATGGTTTCAATCTACAAAAGGAGTTAGCCCCTTCCACCTGTTAACGGAGTCAATGGAGCAAATCTAGACCTTAGTACGAAATGAAATGAGTACCATGGTGTGGTATGACCAGGCTAGAGTAAAGCTCACCAGAGATTAAAGCCCTATTTCTTCAGGCCCTACTTTGCTCAACTCACTACCAAGAGCTTTATAAATCTACGGGTTAGCACACGGTCTATTCCTTAATTCATTTTGTTTTTAATACTAGGGAAACTTCTAGAAACACATGGAGAACATGCAAACTGAATAAAATGTGTCACTTCACAACATTGATTTCTTGCACATTTCTCGCATCTAAATTCTGTTTTCAAATGGAATTCTACAAATCCTCATCGTATGACAAGGACGGGGTGATAAGTTACTGTTCTACAAAGCAAACCAAACCAATATGTCTCGGTTTTTCAGAAAAATCAGCCGTAACGACGAGGTGCTTTAGACACCAGCCTCGGTCTTTCTATTTCTAAAGTCATAAACACGGCTCCATCAATCCAACCCGATTAGTGCTCTGCGTGTGTGACATTATCCAAATCAAAAAGACACAGGTGGCAGAATGTATGAACCTTCAAACCACATCCCAGAGGAAATCGTTTGGTTATTAAGTCGTGTGAAAGCCAGGTAACAGCACGCCACGCACAACCACCGCCGTTTCAATTTGTACTCTTCCTTTTTCTCCATTTGATCTGCTTTTTGCACCACGGTTTGAAAGCGGTCCCTTCAGGCTGCGAACAACAAACGCTGAATCCGAGCGTGTGTCGTGGGTGTTTTCGTTTTTTTCCCCTCGTCTCACGTGAGGTCGTGTCGGCTTCGCGCTCGATTGGAGGCAGGTGCAGCGTGAAGTTACACACACACACACAGACGCCGACACACACCGCCCCCTCCCACCTCTTCGCACCGGCAGATTTCCGCATGACGAGGCGCAGACAGCAGGTGGTCCCGACACTGAACATGTAAAAACCGTAAGCGTTCCTAACGGGGCCGTGAGCGGGGGCTGGAGGCACTTCTGAGGCACAAGGATCAAATGAATGGCTAATGAGTGCATCGTTTTATCTGTGAACTCTTGGATCCGGCTGGAAAACCATAAACAAGGCTTTATGTGGTTACGTGTGGAGTTTGCATGTTCTCCCTGTGTAATGAGAGAGTGAATGGATGGTGTTGGGGTGTCTTGCTTCTTTCATCCCTGTGTTTGGAGAAAATGGAAAAATATTTGAACTCTGAACTTTGTAAAGGACTTTGGGTGAGCTTGGTCTGTACAATGCGCTATATTAATTAAAAAAAAAAAGTACTTACTGTAAACTTACCGCCCCAAAGCACCTGCTGCTCCCTGAATTCTCCCTGTTTTTGCAAATAAAACCATGTCTTTAGAACTTATATCTGACATCTTCATGAATCGATTATGTATTGTATGCTCATATTCTCATATTCTCCGCTGCTAATGTATAATATAGACATCTGTAAATACTCCAAACCAAGTGCAATTGTAGCCCAGATTTTCTTATTTTATTTTATTTTATCTTAAATTTATTGTCTATTATCTTAAATAATAGACTTTGATGTGTGCAATCTGAGTGCTCTTATTTCCTTTCTCTGCTGTAATGTGCAACGATGACACTGAAATTTCTCCACTGTGAGACTAATAAAGGTTTATCTTATCTTATCTATGTTTTTGTTTTGTTCTCCCCCGGTGGAGACCAGGCTTTGCATTTTTATATCCCCACAGGAGGCTCCAGAGCCCGGGTCACAGAGCCATCAAAACGGGCCGAAACAGGCAGGGATCAGGTCCAGGGATCAGGATCAGGTCCATAGTTCAGGATCAGAGTTCAGGTCCAGAGTTCAGGTCCAAAGTTCAGGGGACGTCAGGAAGCATCATGGACATCTGGGAGCATCAGGCTTTTTAAAAATAAGCGGTAGGACACAGCAAGATCAAACACAGCAGGGTTAAAATTATAAAATTGTAGAAAAGTTGGGATAGCAGTAGTTTGGTTTAGCTGTTTTGGGCATGTCCCACTGGTCGGAGACCAGAGGAAGACCCAGGACCCGTAGGAGGGACTATGTCTCACCGCCGGTCTGGGAACGCCCCAGGATTCCTGGAGAGGGAGGTCTGGGCCTCTCTGATCAGACTTCTCGCCATTGGATAATGAGGATAAAGAGGAATAAAAGACATGCCTGGATAATAGCTTTATAATGAGGTATAACATGCCATAGTAGCCAGTGTTGTGTATTAATCAATGCTGTAAGGGCCACTGAAACGGCGCCCTCTGTTGGCAGGTTTGAGCAGCCACAGTGTTTGTTTGAACGTCATTAAAGAAGACATATATAAAGTGGATTGAATTATTAACAAATTCTAATAATAATCTAACTTGACCCATATTGTTTTTTTCATGATTCTTTTACAATCGCACTGAGGCCCAGACTATATTTTTCAATCCCCACATTCTCTCCGGGTCTTCCACTCCCCGACGGACCTCCACACGGCCCACATTCAGAGACAAAACCTGGACCATAAATTGTCAGAGAAGCCACCAGAGAAAAGCAGCAGCAGCAGCAGCAGTTCTAATCCTCCACGCCGGGTCTGACCACGGCACCTCCAAACCACAATAACATATTCATCCACCGCTTTAAGCCTATTATTCCATTGTTCCCAGAATCTGTCCCACTTCCTGGACATCACACAGGGTTGTCCTCCGTCTCCAGAGCTTTTCCCGAGGGTTGCTTTGGGATCCGGCAACAGCCAAAGATATCACCGAAGAACAATGGGACGTGAAAGCCTTGTGGACCTGCCATTTCCAGACTACCTCCAGCAAACAAGAGCGAGCCGAGCCCAAAACCTGCCTGTATTACTGCCGTGGGACCGCGTTATTTTTACCCTGGTCTGAGTGTTGTCAGACACCGCGGGGCTTTTCATGAGCCGAAAGCAGACCACGGCGAGGACAAAGGCAGAGCTGGTGTCGAGATGTGTTTTTGGACGTTAGCGGCTTGTGAATAACCGCCGAGGCTTTGACGTTAGCGCTTGTTAATAACCGCCGAGGGAGCACTGGGATGGCACAGCTGTTAGGACTTGTGGAGCACAGGGACTGTGGAGTAAATGGAACAGAATGCGGGAATGGGAACTCATGACTGGGGACTTGAGGAGCAACAGGGACTGGCCTCCTGCTGGGGACTATGAGGAGCACAGGGACTGGCCTCGGTTTGGTACTCTGAGGCAGAACAGAGGGACTGGTCCCAGAGTAGGACTAACGATGGGCATGGGAGCGTTTCAGATATATGCTAATTTCTGAAACAATCTTCCTGAAAAGTTGAGACAGACTTCTTCTCGGAGATTTCAAATCCGGTTTAAAAACAGCTTTGAATATGAATTATTTTAATGCACTGTGTGATTGTTTCTATCTTGTGTTGGCCAGCTCTTTGCCTTGTGTTTTCACTGTGCTACATAAATATACTTGCCAATTAAATGTGTACGTAATACAATTCTGGAGATGGATTAAATGTGGTTTTCTGAGTCAAACGCGGTGGCTCCTTTCACTAAGCTTGTTTGGGAAGTCCTTCCAAAACTCTGCTGCCAAGAGTCTGACCCAAAGTCACTGTAAGAAACACATTACTCCAGCTCCTAGAACCCTGGCATGACTTTTCAGGTCTTTTCACGCTCGTTCAAACTTTGTTCTTGGGGCCGAATAAAAAAATAGAAAGTAGTGTTACGAATATCTTTTAGTAAAACAATCTGATTAACATCAAATAGTTATAAGTGTAGTTATAACGGAATAGTCACTTCTGGGTTCAAACACAGCACAACAAACATCTACACAAAATTATTCTTGTACAGCCCTAAATCACAACAGCATCATCTCAGTGACTTAACAAAAAACATTGAAATCACCACAGATCAGAGTAATCAACAGTTAAAACACTATGAAGAATATAGAACACATGTTGATAAATGTTCAACATGTAGAATGTTAAAGTGTCCTGGATCTCCACAGGTCTTATAGTTGGGCACTAACTAGCCAAAGGACTCCTGCATCAGAGGATAAGAAAAAAACTCACAAGACCCCTAAAATATATAACGTTTATAGGTGCACGATGTAGAGTATGATTTTTTAATCCTATGGGTGATTTTAATGTTCTGTAATGTTTTTAATACTTGTGCTTGTTATTTTGAATGGTTTATGTGGATATTAATGTCTTAGGATTATGCAGTGATGTAATGTGGGGTGTGAGGCGCCTTGTGTTGCCGTGTGTAGAAAGGCGCTCTACAAATAAAGTTGATTGATATGGTCTTTTGGGCAGCAGTGGATGTCATCGGCAAATACTGTGTCTATCTGTGTTCAGGTCAAAGCAGATTTTAACCATCATCAGAGTTGTGTCAGAGTAAGGAAGCCGAAAAGAGAAGCCTGAGCGAATTCAACAATGACTTCATTTGTGTGATATTTAAATACTCTGAGTAGGTTATGTGTTTTGTTTCTTGGTTCTTTAATGGTTCGTCCGATAAAGACCTGCCTAATCTACAATTATCCCTTACTTAAACTATGTTCTGGTTGGGTGGTGGCACTCAGAGCCCCAGCCCATCATGATCCTCCTGCAGCTGCTGAGTCCACAGGAAGATGAGATCTTCCAGAGGGGGCTTAAGGCGCTAAGTGGGGTTTAAGTGTCTTGCCCGTGGACCAACGACAGCTGACATCAGTGGGAGTCGATTGTGAAGTATAGGTCTTGCAGTTAGGCTCGAACCACAACCTTCAGGCCCCAACTGAGCTACTGTTGCCAGTATAACATGCCTTGGTCACACCACTACCATCAACGCTGCAAGATTATAATAATAGTTGAAATCACTGTGGGGCCACTTTGTTAACCCTTCAGAGTCTAAGGGTGTTTTGGAGCATTTACCTCGCCTGGAATTTTTGTAGTATTATTGCTCATAAAACACTTATCTAGTGATGCACAGTAAAGCAGGATACTTTGTTTTTTTCAGTAAAACCTGGGCTTATATAATATGCATACTATACTTGTGTCATATGAATGTAATAAATGTTATGGAGTCATGAAGACATAGAAAAAATAAAAACGGAAAATCAATTCTACACACACCTATTGGAAAAACACACTGAAATGCTAATGCCAACTTCTTACACATTGTAGCAATGTTGTTTAGGGTCTTGGGGATATTGAGAAAAAAAATTGGACCTGTAACTATAGTACAAATGTACAAAATTCCACAATAAGTGCAAAAAGCCCAAGCGTTTTACTGCTGATGCCATTACTGGGAGCAATTTCTGTCTGTCATGGGGCAGGGAGCCACATCATAGATAATATGCATACTGTAATGGTGTCCTTTGAATGTAAAGAAAGTTATGAAATCATGAAGAAATAAATTTTACGAACATTTATTGAAAAAGAACACACTGAAAGGCAAAAAAACAACTTATTACATAACCATAACTATATTACAAATTTACAAAAAGCCTTCCTAGAGTTTTACTCCTGATGCCATTCCTGGAAGCAGTTTCTGTCTGCTATGAGGCAGAGAGCCACATCACAGGCTAGGCACTTCCAAGGGGTAGCTTGTCTTTTGTGGCGAGTCTCTCTGCAGTGAGCACAGCTTCTCCTCCCGTATGATGCCCGCTTCTTCAGGTCTTCCTGTTCAGATATTGCCACGGGCAAGTGTTGTGCGGGGGCTTTTACAGGAGGGACCATCACTGACACACCACAGAGCTGGGCAGTCAGCTCCTCTAAAAAGCCTCGGTGTGTCATTGGCTTGTCCCCTTTTTCTTGGCTCAACTCTTTGTGCAAAAGGTAAGCGTTTGTGGCTGCAATGTCCATGAAGTGGAAAAATAGGGTCCGGTACCAGCGTTTGGTGGTGTGGTGAACACTGTAATATTGAATTAGTTGATCTGACAGATCAACCCCTCCCATGTACTTATTGTAATCCATGATTGGCTGTGGGCAGGGAATGTCTTTGGTGACCCAGTTGTCGACGGTTTCTTTGAAGCGCCGCCTCACTGTTTTACCTGTGTAAGCAGGATGGATGGTGGAGCAGATGGAGACTTCACGCGAGTCCATCCACTTCACAAACACCAATGGGCCCTCCCTGATCCACGTTATTGTGCCCCTTTTGTCTTTTTTACCCAGGGCATTACTTTGGGTGCGGGGACATCCTCTCCTATTTTCGCTGTATGTTCCACAAGCACCAATGCCCATACTATATAGGTCCATGAAAAGTTTTGGGCTCGTGTAGAAATTGTCAACATACAGGTGGTAACCACTACCCAGGAATGAGGGCTTTATAAGGGACATGACAGAATCGTAGGCAAGCCCCACACCAGAGGAAAACTGGGACTTCCCTGTGTAGATTACAAAGTCCACAGTGTAGCCATTGAAGCTGTCTGCCAAGACAAAGAGTTTGAAGCCCCACTTTGTTGGTTTCGCTTTCATGTACTGGGTCATCCCTGTGTGGGCCTTTGTTGCCACCATTCTCTCATCAATGGAAATGTTTTGTCTTGGATTATAGTGGGCTTTACAGGCGGTTAGGATTGAGTCCAAAAGTGGCTTCAGTCTGAAAAGTTTATCAAACTGTGGGCTTCCCTTTGTTTGGTCATTGACAACATCCTGGTCTGGGTCACTCATATGTATGTTCCATGAGATGATCCGGAACCGATCCCGGGTCATTACTTTTGGCGGAAAAGGTGTACTGAAAATAGAATGTTGTTTCCAGTAGTCTGCAACACAAGAGAGCTTTAGCAATGAAAAATAAAAAATCAGTCCAATAAATTTATATAGCTCCGTTTCTTGCAGTGTCGTCCAAATGTATTTCTTTCCCCTAGCAATGTTTTTTTCAGCCTGTTTGTTGGTATTAGTGCAAAGACTGGCCATTGCACCTTTGTCCACAAAAAGTGAAAATAAATCCAATGGGCTGTAATTTGTACCTGCATGAAGCTGGTGCCCTGGTGTCCTTTTGGGCTTGAACTTTTTCGGGTGGCAATCATCGGAATCCAGTTCACTGTTCCAGCTGGCTTGAGGAAGTACAGGTCCAGGCTGTGGTGGAGATCTGCTTCGGCCTCCAGCACTGCTTCGGCCTCCAGCACTGCTTCGGCCTCCAGCTCTGCTTCGGCCTCCAGCTCTGCTTCGGCCTCCAGCTCTGCTTCGGCCTCCAGCACTGCTTCGGCCTCCAGCACTGCTTCGGCCTCCAGCTCTGCTTCGGCCTCCAGCTCTGCTTCGGCCTCCAGCTCTGCTTCGGCCTCCAGCTCTGCTTTGGCCTCCACTTCTTTTGGTCTGTGAAATGTGACGGCCCCTTGAAGTAGAGGGAGTGGTGGAGGTCAGCGGTGAAGGTGTGGATTGGTGGTGCTGAGAAGTGGTGGCCTCCACTGTAACCATGGGGATGGGCGTGGGAGTGGGTGAACGAGGTTCAGTATCTGGAGATGCTGAAGAGGGTGGAAGATCTTCATCATCACAGCTGTAAAATGAGAAAAACAAAAGGAACTGAGTATATATATATATATATATATACACCACTATAATAACAAACAGGTAAACTATAGATGGAGATTAGTCTTTAGAATAAACAGGTAAACACATAATATAATTTTACTGTATTTATTATCAATACAATTCCCCTGTGACCCCAGGCCCCCTGAGACTATAGATGGAGATTAGCTGCAATCAGGCGTGTCTACAATATGTTATTATAATAAATCCATGGTTCAACCTGTGCTTATTGACATGTATAAAGAAGAAACAAACGCACACACAAATAAATAATCGGCACTTACTCTTCAGCCGGGTCTACGCCTTCGCGGTATTGGTTCTCCTCATCCGTGTAGAAACTTTCAGCCCCAGATTCTGAATCTACATCACTCATCACATAGAAAAGTTCAAGAGCCTCTGCTGCGGTCAAGTTTCTGTTTGCCATTCTGTCTGACACACGGGATACGGAAAAAACACGGGATACAAATACGGGATACAAATACGGGATGAGCTAGTTTCTTCTCTCGAGCGCGTCTTCTCCGTGACATTCTATTTGCGTCTGGACTCACGTTTGGCGCCATGTACGTAATTTTCACTGGTCCCGTTTGTGAAATAAAAATATAAAAAACATATAAAAACATAAAAGGACTGGCAGTGACTTGAAAAACAGTGCAGTAAACTTTATTGCACATTTTCAATGAAATAACAGTCTTTTACGGATCAGTAAATGAATAAATGTATACAAACAAGATTGTACACGGATAATATAATCATCTCGGCTCTCTTCAACCTTTGGCACACCGGGAGATAGAAGCATGCCAAAGTAACACGCACAACGATTGGATATTTAACTCGCATGAAGATGTGATTGGACGCTGAACTCCCAATAGACATAGCTTATCTTACCTGCGTCACAGAGAAATTCCGGAACTATATTCTGAAAGCCTGAAGTCTCCTCTTCACGCAGAAACAAAAAGTAAGTCTCTGTTGTTTACCATTCGTGAGATATTGTGTAATTTATGCGGAGATGTCTGGCGAGTCGCACCCGACGCTCCCGCTGCGGAAGGGTTAAACTCCTCATTTAACCTGTCGCCTGCCGCTCCCTGCCGCCCAAAAGAAGCAGAAATAGTCACGGTAATTATTTCCAACCAAGTTGGAATGGCAAAGAAATAAAATCCACTTCAGGTCTGGGATGAGCGCAGGTAACAGAATTATTCAGATGACAAATTGAGAAAGGTGCAAAGTTTTCCCAAGGCTTGTATGATCGATGAGAGAAGCAGAAAGGTATTTGAATGGCTTTTCGGTTCGACTGAAGGTGGTTGGTGTAAAAGGTTTGGGTTAATAGTTTGCACCTGCGTCAAACCCAGCCATGGGTTTCTATGGACAAAAAAAACTGAATGAGATCATTTCAATTAGGCTCCGAAATATAGTCATCAAGGTGAGAATTTGTGCAGTATATTCATTTCAGTTTAGTAGTTATCAGTTATTCATTCATCAGTTATTCACTGTGAGGATTCTGATCTTTGATTTCTCCAGTGCCTTCAACACCATCCAGCCGAGGCTTCTCAGGGACAAGATGGAGACAGCTGGAGTGGACTACGACCTGTCCCAGTGGATCCTGGACTACCTCATAGACAGACCCCAGTTTGTGAGAACCAGGGACTGTGTGTCTGAGGTCCTGACCTGCAGTGTGGGGGACCCCCAGGGGACAGTCCTCGCGCCGTTCCTCTTCACCCTCTACACTGCGGACTTCAGACACAACACGGACGGTTGTGTCATTTACAGCCAGTTAAGAAAACATAGCTACTACTTAATTTGTATATTTTGTCTGCTCCCTGTGTGCTCTGTGCGCTGCAACAACGGAATTTCCCCACTGTGGGAATAATAAAGGAACTCTAATCTTATCTTATCTTCATTTCAGTAGTTATCTGGGAGAACTTCACACAGTTGTGGATTCGCCAACACAGATTAGAGAATCAAACAGTTCAAATACAAGAAATGCAATGATAAAGAGACAGAGACCAATGTTCATCAATGTAGATAGTTCAAAAAACAAATAATGTATATAGTCGGAGCCTTAGATGCTGATGGGGAAAACTATACCAGGAAACATGTCTGGCAAAGTAAGGTAAGATTATCAGCATTGCCCTCAGACGTACGCCCACAAGTATTTCTCATCTCATACAAATAGTGTATACACATGGGTTAGGGTTAGTCTGAAGTGGAAAGGCAGATGCTAAAGCTAATTGTTCATAGATATACTGCATTTAAATAAGAACATATGTTTCAGTGTAAGAAACAAGAGACAAACAGGTTTTAATTCCAATCCATATTTCTCAAATCCTGTTGATCTGCTGCCACGCCGACCCTGTTTTTACTGCATAGAAATAGGATCCCAGGGACATTCTACAGAAGGTTGGATTTTCACTGAAACGTTTTAAACTTTGGTGCAAACTTTGATACTTTTGGTGTAATCCGTTCTTGTTTGGCTCCAAATATCAAGAAACTGAAGCCGGAGCAAGAGGAATGTTTAGTAAATGTAATTGAAGCGAAGTTGTTGTGGCTCTACTCCCCACGGGCTCCGTTAGCAGAAAAGGAGATGGCTAAAGCTAGGCTACATGTTAAAGCTAGGCTAAATACCAAATGCGGTAAACTCAAATCCAATGGTTTCAATCTACAAAAGGAGTTAGCCCCTTCCACCTGTTAACGGAGTCAATGGAGCAAATCTAGACCTTAGTACGAAATGAAATGAGTACCAGGTGTGGTATGACCAGGCTAGAGTAAAGCTCACCAGAGATTAAAGCCCTATTTCTTCAGGCCCTACTTTGCTCAACTCACTACCAAGAGCTTTATAAATCTACGGGTTAGCACACGGTCTATTCCTTAATTCAGTTTGTTTTTAATACTAGGGAAACTTCTAGAAACACATGGAGAACATGCAAACTGAATAAAATGTGTCACTTCACAACATTGATTTCTTGCACATTTCTCGCATCTAAATTCTGTTTTCAAATGGAATTCTACAAATCCTCATCGTATGACAAGGACGGGGTGATAAGTTACTGTTCTACAAAGCAAACCAAACCAATATGTCTCGGTTTTTCAGAAAAATCAGCCGTAACGACGAGGTGCTTTAGACACCAGCCTCGGTCTTTCTATTTCTAAAGTCATAAACACGGCTCCATCAATCCAACCCGATTAGTGCTCTGCGTGTGTGACATTATCCAAATCAAAAAGACACAGGTGGCAGAATGTATGAACCTTCAAACCACATCCCAGAGGAAATCGTTTGGTTATTAAGTCGTGTGAAAGCCAGGTAACAGCACGCCACGCACAACCACCGCCGTTTCAATTTGTACTCTTCCTTTTTCTCCATTTGATCTGCTTTTTGCACCACGGTTTGAAAGCGGTCCCTTCAGGCTGCGAACAACAAACGCTGAATCCGAGCGTGTGTCGTGGGTGTTTTTCGTTTTTTTTCCCCTCGTCTCACGTGAGGTCGTGTCGGCTTCGCGCTCGATTGGAGGCAGGTGCAGCGTGAAGTTACACACACACACACAGACGCCGACACACACCGCCCCCTCCCACCTCTTCGCACCGGCAGATTTCCGCATGACGAGGCGCAGACAGCAGGTGGTCCCGACACTGAACATGTAAAAACCGTAAGCGTTCCTAACGGGGCCGTGAGCGGGGGCTGGAGGCACTTCTGAGGCACAAGGATCAAATGAATGGCTAATGAGTGCATCGTTTTATCTGTGAACTCTTGGATCCGGCTGGAAAACCATAAACAAGGCTTTATGTGGTTACGTGTGGAGTTTGCATGTTCTCCCTGTGTAATGAGAGAGTGAATGGATGGTGTTGGGGTGTCTTGCTTCTTTCATCCCTGTGTTTGGAGAAAATGGAAAAATATTTGAACTCTGAACTTTGTAAAGGACTTTGGGTGAGCTTGGTCTGTACAATGCGCTATATTAATTAAAAAAAAAAAGTACTTACTGTAAACTTACCGCCCCAAAGCACCTGCTGCTCCCTGAATTCTCCCTGTTTTTGCAAATAAAACCATGTCTTTAGAACTTATATCTGACATCTTCATGAATCGATTATGTATTGTATGCTCATATTCTCATATTCTCCGCTGCTAATGTATAATATAGACATCTGTAAATACTCCAAACCAAGTGCAATTGTAGCCCAGATTTTCTTATTTTATTTTATTTTATCTTAAATTTATTGTCTATTATCTTAAATAATAGACTTTGATGTGTGCAATCTGAGTGCTCTTATTTCCTTTCTCTGCTGTAATGTGCAACGATGACACTGAAATTTCTCCACTGTGAGACTAATAAAGGTTTATCTTATCTTATCTATGTTTTTGTTTTGTTCTCCCCCGGTGGAGACCAGGCTTTGCATTTTTATATCCCCACAGGAGGCTCCAGAGCCCGGGTCACAGAGCCATCAAAACGGGCCGAAACAGGCAGGGATCAGGTCCAGGGATCAGGATCAGGTCCATAGTTCAGGATCAGAGTTCAGGTCCAGAGTTCAGGTCCAAAGTTCAGGGGACGTCAGGAAGCATCATGGACATCTGGGAGCATCAGGCTTTTTAAAAATAAGCGGTAGGACACAGCAAGATCAAACACAGCAGGGTTAAAATTATAAAATTGTAGAAAAGTTGGGATAGCAGTAGTTTGGTTTAGCTGTTTTGGGCATGTCCCACTGGTCGGAGACCAGAGGAAGACCCAGGACCCGTAGGAGGGACTATGTCTCACCGCCGGTCTGGGAACGCCCCAGGATTCCTGGAGAGGGAGGTCTGGGCCTCTCTGATCAGACTTCTCGCCATTGGATAATGAGGATAAAGAGGAATAAAAGACATGCCTGGATAATAAGCTTTATAATGAGGTATAACATGCCATAGTAGCCAGTGTTGTGTATTAATCAATGCTGTAAGGGCCACTGAAACGGCGCCCTCTGTTGGCAGGTTTGAGCAGCCACAGTGTTTGTTTGAACGTCATTAAAGAAGACATATATAAAGTGGATTGAATTATTAACAAATTCTAATAATAATCTAACTTGACCCATATTGTTTTTTTCATGATTCTTTTACAATCGCACTGAGGCCCAGACTATATTTTTCAATCCCCACATTCTCTCCGGGTCTTCCACTCCCCGACGGACCTCCACACGGCCCACATTCAGAGACAAAACCTGGACCATAAATTGTCAGAGAAGCCACCAGAGAAAAGCAGCAGCAGCAGCAGCAGTTCTAATCCTCCACGCCGGGTCTGACCACGGCACCTCCAAACCACAATAACATATTCATCCACCGCTTTAAGCCTATTATTCCATTGTTCCCAGAATCTGTCCCACTTCCTGGACATCACACAGGGTTGTCCTCCGTCTCCAGAGCTTTTCCCGAGGGTTGCTTTGGGATCCGGCAACAGCCAAAGATATCACCGAAGAACAATGGGACGTGAAAGCCTTGTGGACCTGCCATTTCCAGACTACCTCCAGCAAACAAGAGCGAGCCGAGCCCAAAACCTGCCTGTATTACTGCCGTGGGACCGCGTTATTTTTACCCTGGTCTGAGTGTTGTCAGACACCGCGGGGCTTTTCATGAGCCGAAAGCAGACCACGGCGAGGACAAAGGCAGAGCTGGTGTCGAGATGTGTTTTGACGTTAGCGCTTGTTAATAACCGCCGAGGCTATTGTGGAGTAAATGGAAGAAGCGGGAATTAAAGACAGAAATTTGATCTCATTTGTGTTTTATTTGTGGAAAAGACTGGTTTGGACGAGTTACAATGACTTTCTGAGCCTCATGTGTCAAGCACAGGGACTGGCCTCCTGCTGGGACTCTGAGGAGCACAGGGACTGGCCTCCTGCTGGGACTCTGAGGAGCACAGGGACTGGCCTCCTGCTGGGACTCTGAGGAGCACAGGGACTGATCTCCTGCTGGGACTCTGAGGAGCACAGGGACTGATCTCCTGCTGGGACTCTGAGGAGCACAGGGACTGGCCTCCTGCTGGGACTCTGAGGAGCACAGGGACTGGCCTCCTGCTGGGACTCTGAGGAGCAAAGGGACTGGCCTCCTGCTGGGACTCTGAGGAGCACAGGGACTGGCCTCCGGTTTGGACTCTGAGGAGCACAGGGACTGGTCCCAGAGTCAGGACTAAACATGGGCAGGGAGCGTTTCAGATTTATGCTAATTTCTGGAACAATCTTCCTGAAAAAGTGAGACAGACTTCTTCTCGGAGAATGTTCAAATCCAGGTTAAAAACAGCTTTGAATATGAATTATTTTAATGCACTGTGTGATTGTTTCTATCTTGTGTTGTCCAGCTCTTTGCCTTGTGTTTTCACTGTGCTACATAAATAAACTTGCCAATTAAATGTGTACGTAATACAATTCTGGAGATGGATTTAAATGTGGTTTTCTGAGTCAAAGGCGGCTCCTTCTCACTAAGCTCTGTTTGGAAGTCCTTCAAAACTCTGCTGCCAAGAGTCTGACCCAAAGTCACAGAAGAACACATTACTCCAGCTCCTAGAACCCTGGCACTGACTTTCAGGGCTCTTCACGCTGTCAAACTTTTGTTCTGGGGCCGAATAAAAAAATAGAAAGTAGTGTTACAGAAATCTTTTAGTAAAACAATCTGAATTAACATCAAATAGTTATAAGTGTAAGTTATTAACGAATAGTCAACTCTGGGTTCAAACACAGCACAACAACAACAACAACAACTTATTCTTGTACAGCCCTAAATCACAACAGCATCATCTCAGAGACTTAACAAAACCATTGAAATCACCACAGATCAGAGAATCAACAGTTAAAACACATGAAGAATATAGAACACATGTTGATAAATGTCACACATGTAGAATGTTAAAGTGTCCTGGATCACCACAGTCCTTCTAGTTGGACACTAACTGCCCAACAGACTCCTGCATCAGAGGAAAAACTCACAAAAACCCTAAATATATAACGTTATAGGTGCACGATGTATATTTATGATTTTAATCCTATGTGTGATTTTAATGTTGTAATGTTTTTAATTACTTGTGTGTATTTTGAATGTTTATGTGGATATTAATGTCTAGGATTATGCATGATGTAATGTGGGTTGTGAGGCGCCTTGTGTTGCCGTGTGTAGGAAAGGCGCTCTACAAATAAAAGTTGATTGATATGGTCTTTTGGCAGCAGCTGATGTCATCGGCAATATCTGTGTCTATCTGTGTTCAGGTCAAAGCAGATTTTAACATACATCAGAGTTGTGTCAGAGTAAGGAAGCGAAAAGAGAAGCCTTGAGCGACACATCAACACTGACTTCATTTGTGTGATATTAAAATCTAGAGTAGGTATGTGTTTGTTTACTCTGGTCTATTTAATGTCCGTCCGATAATGACCTGCCTACTCTACATTATCCCTTACTTAAACTATGTCTGGTTCGGGGGTGGCAGTCAGAGCCCCAGCCCCTCACTGATCCTCCTGCAGCTGCTGAGTCCACAGGAGCTGAGATCTTCCAGCGGGGGCTTCAGGCAAAGTGGGGTTAAGTGTCTTGCCCGAGGACACAACGACAGCAGACATCAGTGGGAGTCGAATGTGAAGTATAGGTCTTGCAGTAGGCTCGAACCCACAACCTTCAGGCCCCAACTGAGCTACTGTTGCCCAGTATAACATGCCATGGTCACCCACTACCATCAACGCTGCAAGATTATAATAATAGTTGAAAATCACTGTAGGGGCCACTTTGACGGGTCTAGCGGGACGGATTTGGCCCTTGAGCCGGAGTTTGACCTGCCTTAGTCTCATTGGCCATTCTACAGAGTGGCCATAGAGTCAGTTTGTCGGTTAAAGTGCCTAAAACCAAGTGCTAAAGATGAAGCAAATTTCATTTCATATTTGAAGTACATATCGTGACTGCTCTTGTTATTATGACATGTACTTTGCCTTTGTGAAAACCCGGCACTTAACGCTCACACCGAAGCCCCGTCGTCCCTCGCCGGCGTGTGTTGTTCCGGGCGCCACACTCCGCCATAATTGATAGAGTGAACCTGATTGACTTTTTATGAAAACACGTATTTGCAGCCGTTCTCTCTCAGCCTCGCGCCATATGCTGCCGTGCGCCTCTGCGTTGGCATTCCCCTCACCACCGCCACCGCCGCCGCCACGGTCGTAATAACATCAGCTTTTATAGGCTTCACTGGAACAGACGCTAATACCCCCGACATGATGAGTGCACGCATTAGCCCCGACGAACGCTAGGAAAAAATAAAACTAGCAACAACTCGCCAATCACAATGTAAATCACGGCGGTAATCAAGGCTTTTGAAGGCGAGCGTTTTGTAGCGTTATGGATGGCAGAATGTGTCACCGCAGCGACCGGCGCTGGATCTGCGGCGGCGTGACGGCAGATTAAGATGCATTAAAAGTGACGAGGAGGCAGGTTGGCGTCGGGACGAGATTTGTTACAACGTTACAAGTGATTTGTTTAAAAGGGAAAGAGAAATGCACAGTGACTGGAGCCGGCGATGGCGCTAATGAGAGATACAAGAGATGGGTTTTTGTCCACAACAGACACAGACCAGACCAGACCAGACCAGACCAGACCAGACCAGACCAGACC